GGCAAATATGGTGCATGGCCCTGAGAGCTCGGTGCACGGCAACTTAGGGAAACACATGCATCTGCGTTTTGTTTATTTGTATGTGTTTCATATGCTTTAGTGCGCTTAACTCTCAGGGCCACAAGAATCCATACATGTCTTGATTATTTAAAGAATAATTTAGGGATTCTGGCTTTACACCCAAATAAACCCTTCTTTTAGGGCAATACAATGCATGCAAATGGCTTCATCCACTGCTGTAAGGCACATACATCACCGTGACTCATTTCAGTGCCAACGTAAACACATGTTTATCATCAGAAGCCAATCACTGCCGCTGTCACCAATCCGTGGCTGCTGGGTATCAAACAAACCAGCTAAAATCAGCCTCATACAATCAAGCAGCATTTAACAACAACACACAGAAACAGCATAATAAGGTTCCAAGGCAACCTTTGAAATGTCAATCAAGTCATCACACAATGCGTTGCAAAAGGCATGAATGACGGCTGCGAGCGTTCTTATTCACAGAGCTCTAATCAACATGGAACTAAATAAAGAGCCAAACAACAAATTGATGTAAGAAAAACAGCGTCAGCCTTTATTTGATGTCTGGACGAGCATTTTCTCACATTGTCATATCCTGTAATCCAACGTGAAATTATTCAGTTTTTGTTCTAACACAGCAATAACTGACAGCGAAGATTGCAGACGATCACTGTGCCAGTCTTCAAGGGAACCATATTTTAATAAGAAGCTATCAGGTCGGCTGCTGCACTCTGTCTTATCAGTGTTTTTTTGTGGGGATGTGAGGGGGAATAAATAAGGCTGGAAACTGTCAGGGAGATTGATGAATTGTGGGGAAAAAGCTATCAGCAACAGGGCCCATCAGTTTTAGGGCCTCGTGGTGGAAAAACAACACAGCGATGACTAGCAGTGATGAGGTCCCACGGCTTACCTGCCTCACTAAGGCCAATGATCCACCTGGGAACCTGTCAGAATGTGAGCCCAATCTGTCTGAGGCTGGCTTTGAATGGACAAGGGACATGTAGCATATGATTGTTATTTGTGACTGTGTGAGTAAAGTTGAGTTAAGTCCCAATTCAAAGTCACTTCAAAGACCCTGATTATCAGTTTCGACCCTCTGCCATCGGCCCAATATGTGTGGTGAGGCAAGTTAATGGTTTGATTAACAAGCAATTTAAAGTTGGCTGCTTTGATGCATTTAAAAAGAAGGACACTGCACAGGTTCTGATGCTGATCATTACCTCTACAAAGGAGGTCATGTTTTTTAATCTTTCATCATTCATTATTTCTTAGCTAGCAGAATTACGCAATTCTGGCTCATTTCATGATATTGAGCCGCAGTATGAAGGTTTTTACCCTGTTTTAATTGTATTAAAAATCTAATTCAAATCAAACTAACCATCTAAAATGACAGATATCATCTTTGGGGAATAATTGATGTGTAATTTGACTTTACCTGGAGGAGGTGGCTAGCAGCAGGATACCAGAGGCTCCTCTGGTGGGGTGTTGAAGATTTATCTTAACCTTGTATCAGGCATACCTGTCATTGTAGAGATAGTCATAAATGAACAGCAGTCAACTTTACTAAAGCAAACTAGTTTGCTGCTTTTTTTTTCTCTGATATTTCTGAGAGTCTAAGTGAATTTACAAGTTGAAAACTGGTAAACACAATAAGTGCGATATGACATTAACACAGAATTACACCAAGGCTCTGTGTTTTAGTTATATATTCCAAGGAAAACATTCTAAATCTACACATCTGCCCCACAAAGCTGAAAGACTTAGTGTCTTTGTAAAAAGATTTTGCACATTTATTTGGTAACATGGGTGAAAACCACAGGCTGTATATATAAAGATGGATGACATGACTGCTCCCAAAAAGTGAAGCCGATGCGTCTTGAATGCACCCTTGGGGCTGACTTCAGTAAAGGTCATAAATCCAACCTCCTCCATGTTAGAGTATGGTATGGTAAGTACAAGTCAAAATAAATTTCCTAAAAGATGGTTTCATTAATTCTGTTTGTTCTGGTTTTAATTTTTGCAGTCCTGTAAGACATATAGTTTTTTCTTTTTCTTTAGATTGAATTAAGATGTAATTCCTTTGGACTTCATTTGGGAAAGATGTCAGGTTACATGTAAAACCCTCCTTTAGACAACTAAACAGGCACCAACCAAACCAAACTCTTTACTGCATATTGAGAGTTTCTTTAAACAAAGCAAGAGTCAGCAGCACTCTCCTGATCAAAGCTCTGCGGTTACACTATACATGTAAACCTGGACGGAGCATCGGTTCCACACTGTATTTACACCACAAATCATGTATGAAAATTTGCACTTGCGCCATGCCAAGAAGATGTATATCAAACTGTTGGGAAATCCCTTCCCTTTGCTGCAGATGAACCCGCAATGAACTCTGGGAGAACAAATGCCAAGCAGCAATCAAACAGGAACACGGGAGATAGGGTGGGTGGGTAAATAGAAATGGTAAATCTTACTTCCTGTCAACTGAATGAATAAGTTACAGCAGCGGGTACAAATGTGCCGATCTTTTTACAGCTGCCGGAGCAGAATCATAAACCGTAAGTGTGAATTAAACACATTTGTTCCTGTGGCTCACATTGTACATATCGAAGTTAATGAAGTCCAAGTCATTCGCTGCTTCTGTTATTTCCGCTGGTTTGTAAGAGTGCGACTACAATTCAGCAGGTTCAGCGGAGGCACAATCGCCTAATTAGGCTTCACAAGGCTGCAGTGCCCTCGCAAAGATAATGGCCGGCACCTTCTGCACACGCACACGCACAGACACACACACACACACACACACACACACACACACACAACTGGAGAGTCCAAACACATCCTCTCTGTACATCATAGCAGGACTCAATTATTGTAACTGGTAGATGTATTATTACCATTGATCTGAGCATTTCTGTTTTATCAAAAACAAAAGTGACAGGGTATATGCAGCAGCAGTCAGAGATGATAAAAGGCCAGAGGATGTACATCAGAGCGAAGCAAAGATGAGATGATTAAAGCGATAACAGCGCATCTCAGATTCTGATCCTCTCAAAGTGAGAAGATGACACAGCACATTATAGGAGAGAATTTGCAATGAGATCAAACAACATCTCAGTGGCACTCTGCTCGACTGTGTGGTGAAATATTGATCATCAGAATTTGAGGGCTTGTCAGGTGTTTTTTGGTCATGCTAGCACTGCAGTATTGGTCACAAAAACCCAGCCTCCTCAGTCTCAGTATACATGTGGTGTCCTGTGTGCCTGTCATATTTGTTTCCCGCGGTTCGCACACAGTTAATGTCCACATAAAGAATACAACAATATTTGAATGCATTAACATTCATATTTATGCCTTAAAGTGTGCACAGCAAAAACAGCATCAGAACGGGTTTCTATCCTGGTGCCTGCTTTAGTGCTTGGCCAGTGTCTGCTTACCCTCTCTGTTGAATAATGTAACAAGTTGTGAGTGGTGTGGGTGGTAGAGGGATGGCCTCTCCTCAAAATAGACACCAGTGCAAAAGCAGAAGACTTCAGAGACAATATACAATCGCACACGTTTTAGTTATGAAACAGTCCCGACAGCAGCGCCTCTCTGCAGCAATTTGCAAAAAATCTAAAGCACTGCAGTGTGAGCTGAATTGTGGGTGTCGTAATTATTGTAACAAGAGATCTCCAGAGTCCATCCTGGTTGAATAAAAGGTCAAACAAAAGATTCAATGCAGAATAATGCACTTTACAGTGGAGACTTTCATTATAAAAGGTTCTGGTAGAGGAGAGAGACATGAAGGGAAAATGGTGTTTACGTGAAAGGGAGATACAGTTTATCCTTGGAGTGTGTGCTTAAACACAGACCTTGTCAGAACCAGTAAACATCACAGGGACGACAGCCCAGTTAGAATTGAGGTTAGATTAAGGTTAGGGTTGGACATGGTTAAGTTAAGGATTAGGTTTTGGTTTGGCTGTCCACAATGAATGGAAGTTCAAACAAACTAATAGGGAGAGTGGTGCAAACTTGAATGATTGCGTGTGTTGCAGGTATTACTCATTTTGTGGGGACCTAAATCTGTCCACAGAGTCCCAGAATGGGGACTTGTCTTCCTTATGGGGACAAAAAGCTTAAATATCAAAATTTTAGGGCCAAGACACGTGTTTTAAGGTTAGGTTAAGTTTAAGGCTAAGGTTTGGATTACATTAAGGTTTAGGTTAAGGTGAGGCTAAGGTTTGGTTGAGGTTAAGGAAAGTCATGGAGAGATGAGTGCGCATGGGGGTGAGTGTGTGTACACTTGCACTTATACATTTGTGAGGACCATTTTGAGCAAACACCCAACAGATTGAGGAACTTTAAGATTAGGATTAGGTTTAGGCAAGGGTTAGGAATGTAGTGATGGTTTGGGTGAGGGGCTGGCAAAGGGTGTGTGTGTGTGTGTGTGTGTGTGTGTGTGTGTGTGTNTGTGTGTGTGTGTGTGTGTGTGTGTGTGTGTGTGTGTGTGTGTGTGTGTTTGTAGCACAGTGGACCAACTCCAACTTTCTCGGGCGAGATGGAGAGCGAATAAACGCAGCAGTGGCTGTGATGAGCACGTGGGGACTTTAACGCTGCAGAGTGTTAGTGAGAGACTCGTGCACACGTTTCCAGAGTCATCAGATTTCTGCACATGCACTCTCCTCCACTGCGCGCGGCGGCAGCGGCTGCGTTACTATTTTTAGAAACAACGTTGCGGTGGAGGAATCAATCAAACTGGAGCTACAACAGTGTTTTTCATGACACGCTGCTGCTTTTCCTGCGGCAGGCTTCTGAGATTCATATCTGTGCTCACCGGGTCAGGGGAGAAGACGCTGCGTTCAGATCCCCCCCCCCCTCCCCTCTCCCTCTCTCGTTCTTATCTCAATCTCAGCTGATGCGTAAAGATGCCTTTCCCCCTCCTGCTCTCCAGGAACCGGTGGACTGCAAACTTTTGCACCATGGAACACGCTCCACTCTATGGGGATGCTTGCTGCAATGCTTCTGGGACCTGGTGTAGTTTTGTGTCTTTTCACATTCTTAGGATTTCTAAAGAGAACTGCAGGCTGGGATGCGAATGAGAACTATTTGATTGGTGACGAACAAAAAGAGCCTGGAAAAGATCGAGGAGGCGCATTTTTGTTTTCTCTTTTACTTCTATCAAGTGTGTGTACATTTTTATTTCTCCTGGCTCTTATGGGAATTAGACACTCGTCCCGCTGCATGCTCCTCAGGAGAAAAATGGCGGAGTCTGAGAGCAGTGAGGTAAGTGTGAGAAACACCTTTATGATTTACCATGGCTGAAATGCGAGCGGTCACTTAACATGGCCTCTGATGCGTCCTGCAGCAGCGCGTCCTGCAGCAGCCTGGAAGTTGCATCTCGGACACAATGCTGATGTTGGGTGTGAGTGAGACAACAAGTCAGTGATAGTCTCTCTCTTTCTCTGCAAGGATGTTTGCACCGCCTCTCCACCACCAACCAGCATTTTACGCATAACACACGAGTGAGCGTTTCCAGACAGAATCGAGTGCACTTGAACATTTCCATGCACAGTCTTACCGGTGTCTCTTTTTTTAAACCGTGTAACTCCCAAGGTTAAGAAGCTGTGCAGGTGTTTTCAATGTGAGGAGGAAGATTCTCACTTTTATTTTACTATAGCAGACAGGACAGTGAGAGGAGGGAACCAAAAGTGTGTTCTCCCTACACATTTGGACCACGTCCAAAAAGATCTAACTGTATTCTCTTGAAATGAAATGTAAAGAACCAATTTAACAAGGAGGAGGAGAAACAAGGTGTTTTCTTGCTGCTGGTCTGAGATCAGACCTGCGCTGTCCAAGGTGCTGCAGCACGTTGCAGGCAAACCGGAGAACGCTGAGAGTTGGTGCGTATGTGGAGAGCGAGTTTGAGGAAGTGGGTGAGCTGAAGAATGACGTATCACCGGCACAGGGGAGTGGTCTCTGAATCCCCACTTCTCTCAGCCCCCTGAAAAATCTTTGATTGCAAATTCTCCACATGCACCTCCATGTGAGATCTATGTTCTGACACACTGCAGCAGAGAATTCATCTACCCTGCCTGCTTGGTTCCTCGCTGGGGCTGTGTTCAGCACAAGCACACCACGATCCCCCGTGTTTTATTGAGACCATGCACCAGATTTGTATTCACAAAAGGGGTTGGATGCTGTAGGAACGATGCACATTTCTTCTTTTTTGGAATGTTTAAAAGATTCAAGCTCCCTGTGAAGTTGCTGACAGCTGCATATTGCTTCATTATACATTATTCATCACAAAACGTTTCCTCAAAGCGAGTTCTTGTCGAGCTCTCAGGATTTTATCAATATGCTTCTCTCTGAGGGCAAGAAGGCAACTGGTCCCTTACAATAAAAGGAGTGAGGCAGGATGGACGGAGCTGTGCCCTTCTCATCTCTCATGTCTTGGAAAAATTAGGTTATCAAAGGTGGCTGAGTGCTGTGATGGTAGAAAACCAAAGTGATCCTTCTTCCTAAAAGTTTGAAGTTATTTTCCATCGTATGAAAAATGAAAGATGCTGATTTACTTTTACCGTGCCAAAGTAAAAAGCCCTCAAGTTTACCAACCAACCTAACTTTGGATACAACCACTGACTTCAGGAGTAACACTACACAAACAAGGGTCAACAGCCAAACAGGAGCAAGGTGACTCTGTAATATGAGCACCAAGTAAAAGTATTCTCAGATAACAGGTCTCACCTTAGTCCAGATGTGCAGTGATGAGATTCCAGTCTCTTAACCTCACGTTTGTTTATCAGCAGGGACGTGTGCCACCCATCTCAGTTACAATCACTGCAGCTGCTCTAATCTGTGAAGTCAGCTCTAATCTATCCCTTAATGTCCCCCTGCAGTGATTTTGTGGCACCTCCTCTGCAGCCCTATCCTGCAATTATGGAGTCATAGCATTGGCTTGTCGCCATTTATTTATCCAACGAGGATTTCTTTAGTTGGCTCCATTTAATCTGCAGTCTTTGAGCCTGGGAGTGTGCACATCCTATTGCTGACCTTACTGTTATTTGAGGGGACTCGCTACATGGAAACATTCAATGGGAAGCATCAATTACAGCACAGACTCAGACAAAGTGCATCTGATGACCGTAATGATTAAGTTGCTGTGATGATATCTCCATCGCAGTTAGTAGGTTAATTCTGTCGTGGCTGCGATGCACTGTGCCTCTGCAGATCAGCAACACAGATTAAAGGATTAAGACATTCGATTGCAGGTCTTTGCTTTTAAATCAAAAGTTAAACATTCATCAAAAGTGGGATCTTTCATATATCCCTCACTCATGTAAGCTGTACCAGTTAACTTCAAATCTGTGAAAACAAGAGGAAGGACTATGGTTGTCTAGATTTTAAAAGCAGAGCAGTTTTTTGTTTTGTACAATTTTATGAATTATTGATTTATTCAATCATTAATTAATTATTCAATTGTGTATGTTACAGTTTGTATGTACAACTATCAGTGATGATTTAAAGTTTAGGCATGATTAAAGTGCATCTGAGGTTTACGTCTTTATTTTTGCAGACATCTAGTCATTACCCAAAGAACTTTAGATCGATGATGATTGTAAATGAATAGTCAGGGGATCACCAACAGGACGACAAAAACTAAGAAGATGAATGTCTGCTTCAGATTTCATTGTTATCTCTCTACTGTGAGTTTCAGTGTCGGTGTGCCACGTTGTGACAAAAATAAAAATTGTACCTCATTTTAAAGAAATAAATAAAGACAAAGGGAGTAGAAACAAGAGGCAATTATCTCACACAAGGAAAATCAATATCACTGACAGAAATCTGACTTTAAGTGCATTATATCTATGTTGTCACACTGTGCTGTTGCTGTAAATCACAGCAGTGCGACTTCATCTATTAATGAACTTATCCATCTTATTGACTCTGTTATGTGTCAGTCCTGTTGCATTACATTGAAGTGATAAGTCAATATGTTACAGTAATTTAAACTCTCTGAAATAAGCGATGAATTTCACTCACTGCTGGATATTATTGTTATTATATCAGAGCTAATGCTATGTATGGCATATTAAGCTCTGAATGACACTGTAGTCAACTTAAAACATGCAAAGGAATGGTTTAAATTCAGTTGCATTAATAATTTATTTGACCATTCAAAGCTTTTAAACATTTATGGGAAAACCAGCAGCGACAATTTGGGGTTCAGGGTCACAAATGGGCTGGAGGAGATCAGCCTCCGGCCTCCCAGTTATTTGGTGGCTCACCAATAATAACATAAAATACTTTGCTCACAAATTAATTTTTCAAAAAGTACTTGAGAGGACATACATTTGAGATGGAAATCCTGCTTTACCATTATAACCTAAAACATTTCTTCTTCCGCGTGAAATATCAAATACACTGTTGTCATGGAATATCCCTGTCAGCTGTTGAAAGCACATATTTCTGTCCACCGTGCCAAGTATCAATCAATTACTTTTAGAAGCCTGAACATTGTACTGAGAATAAACAGCAGATTAGCTCCCTTCGCTCAGTACTGAGATACTGGGCGTCTGTTTCTCCATCCCCCTCTCTCTCTGTCAGACTCACACCCACTCCAATAGCCAGATCTTCCCAGCAGGCTTTAGAGGTGAGAATCAGGCCATTATGGATGTACCCTCTGTGCAGAGCAGTCTTTCTGCCTGCTGACAGACTTCATGTCAGTGATCAGAGTATGATCCAGATTGGGGTTCTGCTCTGACAGCAGATGGAAATATTAAGGGCAATGGATAATGAATCTGAGCCAATTACTGCCCTCCAACGTAAACCACATCATCTGATTTGCTTTCCTGTCCTTGTTTTCATTCTTGCGCCAAAAGGTGTTAACTTGCCAAAAGTCGGGTCAAGTGTTTTTTAATCTGTATCTCTCCGCTCTCCAGCAGCCACAGACGCAGCCACAGCCAATCCGCATCATCCCATCCCAGTCGGCACAGCCCACCTCGTTGCCCAAACCTGTGCCTTCCATCCAGCACGTGACGAGGCCCGCTCTCCCACCACACACGCCCCACGCCGCCAACCTCCCGAGCTGTCCGGGACGGGGCAAGATGTCCAAGTTCCTTAATCCAGAGGAGATGACCTCACGAGACTACTACTTTGACTCCTACGCCCATTTCGGTATCCACGAGGTACTGTTCCGTTACAGTGAGAATTACGTAAAAGTTTCTTCTTCTGAATTGAGCATTAGACAAATGCGAATCATGCTACACGATTTAAAGTTAAGTGATACACAATTTCAATAACTGTAACTGTCAAAATCCTGAGGCCAAGGTCCCCCATTGGCTGCAGGACCCTAGACATACAGTATGCCATGCTTTGGCTGTGAAGTAATCCATGATTCCTTGGGAATGTTGCAACTTTAAAACTCTCTAAACTTTCTCCGTTCTTATCAAGAACGAGACATGATTTAGGACTTAAAATAATCGTTCTCCCTCTATAGGTGCTACCATTCAAGATAATGTGTCTCTTTGGTTATCTCTTCCCTCAGAGTTCAGCTGCATTCTCAAGAGGAGACAAAGTATTAGAGTCTCTATAAAAAGAACATGTTCCCTGTTTGACCTGTGAGAATGTTTTCATTTTGTATTTTTGAATGTAGGTCAGACTTATTTTTGTCATTTCTTAAAAGTCTTCACATTTGTGGAGAGAGACAGAGACCAGACAGAGCTTATTCAGAAACACAGATAATGGATTTAACTGTAGAGCCATTTGTCTGTGATAGAATAGTGATGGATAGATTAGGTGAAGCCTGTTGGTTATTTGTCAATGCTCCGCTGCAGATTATCACAGCAAATCCACACATCTCAACGTCTGGCCAGTTATTTTAATTTAACAAATCATCCCTCCCCTTGGGGGGGTTTTAGCTGTGTTACCATTTTCCTGATATCATTAATCATATGCTTTAACCAGGAGATGCTGAAGGACGAGGTGAGGACGCTCACCTACAGGAACTCCATGTACCACAACAAGCATGTCTTCAAGGACAAAATAGTGCTGGATGTCGGAAGCGGGACCGGGATCCTGTCCATGTTTGCGGCCAAGGCTGGGGCGAAGCATGTGTATGGGGTAAGACCTGTGTCCTTCCAGTGGAGCGTCATAATGCCCAACCATTGAGAGGGCTAATGGCAACAGCGCCCAGCCTCACAAGCTGCACATGTACGACATGTGTATGACTGGTACATGCATTTGGAACGTTTTTGTCAGCTTCCCTGTAATCTTCCAGAAATATCTTGTCTGACAGGCAGGTGATAAGAGTGTGCAGCCTCTCAGGCAGGTTGACGGAATGAGCCGTGGCGATTTGATAGCTTTCGCTGTTATCGCGTACTGGAGCAGAGGTATTTGCTAGTCAGGACATGTCTGAGACTACTTGCTGGATGCACACCGCTAGCTTGACTACGTGGAATGTATTTTTGCATTGTGGTTCCAGACAGCATATAATTGCTTCAGGGAAGGAATTATTAACTTGAATATTTCCATCTTGTTCTGCATTATACTGTTTGACGATATGCAACCTCATGTTGTATGATTGTCCTTCTTCTCTCCCCCTTCTTTCTATATTCCTGTTTTTCTACTTTAAAGTTAAATATCTCTTGACTTTGTGCTTTACGTCACCTTTGAGTAGCTGCCGTCTATCTGGCGGGGTTTGAGCCTCATCAGTGGGGCCAAAATTTCAGGGATTTACCTTACTTTTGACTTAGATCCTTTAAGTTTTGGATCGCCCCAAAAACTCACACCTTCCTTTACCTGAGGCTTATAAAGCTTGGCATAAAAGCTGGGTCTGGTGGAAGGTGGACGGACTGGTTTCTGGGCCAAGAACAACATCATTCTATCATATGAACCTCATTAAAATGATAACTTAAACTCTGGATCGACTGAGTCCCTGTAAAAGACTCTATGGTGCGAAATTCCATATGTCAGAGCGACATACCCTGATACACTAAAACCCAAGTAGAGTATCTCACATTTGTATCCCACTTTAAAACTAAAGATTTCTAGATGTAATATAAAACAATCCAAAATTATAATTAAATACTTTATTTCTTTTTGTTTGTTTTTTAATTATGGTTGAATATTTTCTCCAAAATCAAGTCACTAAAAAGCCCTACAGCATCAAAGTAACATTCTCGATCGTTATAAACAGAAACTGTGTTTACACAACAGATTGCTGCGGCTAATGAGATCAGAATGTGGGATTTCAACTAAACAGTCACAGGTACAGTAAATGACTTGTGTGTTTAGTGTGATCAGTCTTTATAATGTAAAACCACTGACAGCCACTTGCAGTCATCAACATCGACTGTATATAAAGATGGACGAAGCATCTCCACTTCTGCCCAGGATTCAGAAATTAAGCCAAAATGTACCTCTTGCAGCAAAGGCATCAAATGTTGACTTATGTTTGGTCTACGTCCCATCTGCTAACACAGAGAGGTCAGGGTTTATGTACTGAAGACAGCTCCCAGCAGGTAATCGAGACAGCTGTCATGTCATCCATGTCGATATACAGTCAATGCTCAGAAGCAAAAGTGCACGCATTCGAGGCAAACATGGTTATTTAATGTGTGGACTCAGGCTCTAATGTTTGTTTGCAGTGCACATTGACAGGATCTGATCCCTCCCGGGACCACAATAAATCATTTTATGTATTTATTGGGTGGCACGTTGGTACAGTGGTTAGCGCTGCTGCCACAGCAGGGAGGTTCTGGGTTTATCACAAACAGCTGGTCCATGTGTTTGCATGTTCGCCCTGTTATTTTTGTATGGAGGCTCCAGACAGTGTATATTTGCTTCAGGGAAGGAATAATTACCTTGGAATTTCCAAGAGAATCATTGTGAGCTTTACTGTTTGACCTCATGCGTTTGTGTATGATGATGTGCATGTGTTGCCTTGTCTGTTTGTTTGCCTTCTTGCCATCTGCTGCCTCACTCAGTTTCTCCCTCCCTCCCTTTATCTATCATCCTGTTTTTGTAGTTTAAAGTGAAATTTCTCTTCTGTTTTTGCTTTCTACCACATTTGTGGTACGACTTTTCAGCTAGTAGGGTTTAGCCTCATGGAAGGGGGCTGAAGATTACTGGGATTCGCTCAGGTTTTGCTTTTCTTCTCCAGATCCTCCAGTCAAGTACATGTCCAGTGTGTATTGTACCTCTTGCCAAAAGTCAGCTGGTATTGGCTCCAGCCCCAGCGTGACCCTCAAATGAGGAGAAATATGGCGAATAAATTAACTCATTCATGAGTGGTCTTGTACTTGAGATGCTGCACTCTGCATTACACAAAAGTGCCAAAGTTAAGGAGATATTGATGCATGAGGTTTTTGTATCATGTTAAGGTCCCTGTGGTCAGAACACACTTCTCTTTTGAAGAAAGTCACCAACGTTTCTCAGTGAATCTGCTGTCAAGTGACTGTGTTTGTGTCTCAGCCAATGAATGAGAGAGTAACTTTCAGAAATGTTAGGCTAAACTAATTATTTCCAACATGCTGTATATTTCCACTCAGAACGGAAAAATGCCACAACACCTGAGCCAAGTCAGAAGCTTTAGAGAAGATCTAGTCTACAAGGATGAGCAGAGTGACAGTGACTCTTCTTGACTCTAGTGAGGAGCAATAGGCAGCATGTGTGTGAGTGTTGACTATGTAAACACGCCTTGAGGCTTCTGTTCTCCCAGTGAGGCGTGACTCTGATGGACACATGGCTAATGGCTGTCTCTTCTGCCAGAGCTTCAAGCAAGAGATGAAGTATTATTGCCAATTAGAGGGCTAGCAGCACAAAAACAGAATAGCCACACATACATGTGTCCAAGTATTCCTAAAGGTGCACATGCCTTCTCCTCACACCTGCTGCAACATTAGGCATCGCTGTATGTTTGCACAGTTGATACTGACAGATTTTTAATGGGCAGATGGATCAGTGCAATGCCAGAAGGCTGTGGGCTCCACCAGCAGCCTCCTGACGGGTCCTCGACTAATAGGGAGCAGAGAATAGGGCTGCTGCAGGGAGGCAGTGTCCTGTATCCATGCTCAGTGGGAAAACTAGAGACCTCAGCTAGAAACCAAAACTTAATTCCCAGCATGTATGTTGTATTGTGTTGAAATTTCATAAATTAATATGACTTAAAGTAACACTATAACATCTTCTCCACCAGTCATTAAAAACATTACACACTACCATCATGCTTTATTCTGCTATGGGAATTTGCTCAATCAGCATTCACTCCCAGGTCAATACTTTGAAACTTCCAGGTGAATGTGCTGATAAGGCGAGACGGCAAGGACAGGACATTTGTGATGTCAAACATTAAGTACCTGTGAAAACGTGATGCAATGTGAAAGGAGTTAATTGCCTTCTTACTTGCGTGTACCTGCTAATTTTGGTGTAAGAATGATTTAGCTTTTACTCAAAGTGGGAATGAAAGTGTCACCATTCTCCCTTTTTTAAGTCAGTGAACCCCCAAATTATATTCAAACTGAAATTATAAGCTAACACGGTTGCATAATGTTACTTTAATTTGTGCACCTCACAGTTGGTCCGCTGCCCATTAAGCCCTAATCAGTTCCTTACTCCAAAATAAAATACCTCATTCTTCCTTTTAATATTGTGGCTTACCACCACCATTATTTTCTCAAAGTTGGCAAAGATCCAGCTGATTATTTTTTTTGTATAACGGCGTCTTGCTTGGTTTAAAGCTTTAAAGAAATAAAAGTAGTCACAAGAGCAGCATCATTAAAACACAGGTTTTCTCACAAGGTGAAAGTCCAGAGTCAACTTGAGAAAGCAGGTTCACCAACAATAAGTATGTTGTAGTGAGTTGAGACGAAAAATAGAAATATTCAAAATTATATGACTTCATTTGTGCACCCAACAGTTGGTGTGCTGCCCATTAAGGCCTAATCAGTTCCTGCCTCCAAAATAAAAGACTGCAGAGACCTCGGTCCTCCACGAGAGACTGAGGCACAGCTTCAATTCATCAGTTCTCCACAATGGTCCCAGCCTGGCTTTGACTTTTTATGATCTGGAGCACCTCGAGTTCATTCAAAAGTACTCTGTTTGATTGGGACCAGATGGATTTCACTTGCAGCATGAATAAGTCTGTACACCTTTAACAAACAGAGTCCCCAGGTGGCACAGTGTACCACAGTGTACACCCTCGAGTGAAAATTTATACCCTCAGACTAACTGGTGCTGGAAAAGCCTATTGACGAATGCCTCCCCGTTTTATTTGAAAAGTGTTTACTAGAAATGTCCACAGTTTATTCTGATGAATAATGGAGATTTATTGAATTATAACTCTCTTATTGCTGGCGGCCCCATAAATCAGGCCTGAAAGGAGGATTGGTGGACAGGAGGGGAATTACAAAAGAAAAGGAAAGAGCTCAGGATTTAGAAAGAGGACAGGACAGAAAACGAATAAAGGAGGAGGAGAAGCTGCAGATATTCTACAGAGGAGACAAATAGAACAAGAGCAGTGATGTGAGAGCAATCTAAAAAATGTAAAAAGACTAATGGAACTATGGTGGAAGGTTACATTATGGATAAATGGCTGCTTGCTGTTGAGCAGCGACTAATTGTCACCTTAATTACTTACAGTGAGATGCTCTGACAGCACTTCAGCCTCTCTGATAAAATACAATCCATCCTTTTATATTCATTTACCTTCCTCTATTTTCAGCTTGACTCCAGTACTCTTGCCACAATGCTTCATTAACCTCAGTGCAGGAAGTCAAATGATAAAACCACTTGCTCATACTCGCTGCCTTCAGCTCTCACACGTCACAAATGTACAATAAGTGATAAAACCAAAAGGAAAATCCTTTTATGATAAGGTTCCACAAACTCACACAATCGTGGCTCACATCCACCATTTTTTCCTTTTAACTGTCAAAGCGTCGTCATCTGACATAACACAATTCCATGTTTTTTTAACCAGGTGAAGGCCCCGAGTGTTTCATTCAGGCATTCTCTAAACACATCTAACCCACAGATCCCCTCATGGGTGGCTGCAGACAGATTCCTGCTCGGAGCAATGAACCCAAAATAAAGATGCAGCTCTGAGGTTGGTCTGTATTCCACATCACAGACAGATTTGGAGGGTGCTGTGGCAATAGTAAAACAGCATCCTTGTGTAGTATATGAAGACACATGATCTGTCTTACGCACAGGTGAAAAGTGAACAAATACTGTAACTTCACTCTGCTTCAATACATTTTTCAATGCGCAAGTATTTCTTCCAGAATGCACCTTTATACTACTTTATTCTACTTTTCACTTTAAGTTTATTTGACAGCTAGTTACCTTTGACTCTGTTGCCTGTAGGTGTTAAGTTTAAAAGGGAACTTGCTGAAATGTGTTTTATTGTGGATGATGATTTACTGTGTTTTTGTCTCTTGGCGAACTCTTGACGCACAGCAAATTTCCCCTGGTGGGACAACAAAGATAACCTAACCTCGACCTTCACACATACGTGGTGATGTTCTCCATCTATCCTATGCTATAAAATTAAATTAACTGCAACTTGTAAATGGACTGTATTTAAAAAAGCACCTTTCAATACTTGTCGTCCTCTAACCCACTCATCTTCTACAGCGGATCACCCACTCTATCTCCTAAGCCACAGCTATCCAACATTAAGGTTGAACATAAAGAAAAATATAATGAGAATATCATCAGCTTATGCAACACAACACATTAGGATGAACCCCTTTTGTGTTATAAAGTCAAATTGAAGACACCTTCTCTTTCAGTACACCAGTAAGAGTTCTGCATTATAGGGAAACTGACGACATGTGGATTTTCAGTATATTCTTCCAGGAAGCATCATAGTCCTTAATGTACGGTCGGTTAATTCGTTTTTTCCCTTTCTTTTCTGCTAGATTGAATGTTCCAGTATATCAGAGTACTCCGAGAGAATCATCAAGTCCAACCACCTCCACAGCGGTAAGAGCTGCTGCTGTTCCTTATCGCTCTGTTTTGATGACACTGTTTTTCAGTCTGCGAAGGGCAGCAAATAGGTTACAGCCGTGACCAACATGTAGAGGAAGGAGGGAACGCTGGCAGGGGAGATGCATAAGAAGGAGAAGAGGAGGGGTGGACGACAGTTAAACCGAGAGGATGGTTTAACTGCACCAGTCTTTTTTGTATTCCCACCTTTAAACACACCTTCAGCTTATGTTAAACATGACACCTCTGCAAACGTGAAAACAAGTTTCTGGCCGAGCCACTGACTATGCATCTACCAAATAACAGTACCATAAACCTTCCTGTCAGGAAACGCCCCAGCTCTAAACCTATGAATATCAAGTATGCACAAGTAATTGAAAGACGAGCTGACAATAGTTGGAGTAACAGGGGCCATGTGGCATTGTATCACCAAGAAAACTGTTCTGCAGCTATTTGTCTAGGCCGATAAACAAATATGAACTCAGCTCATCACAGGCACCTCCACTAATCTCCATAAGAACAGAAAGATGTGATAGTGTAGACTTGTCTAGTTAGTGTATTCCTAAATTATATGTTTAGGCCTGATCGGTCCAAGATTTTTGTGTTAACTGCTTTATTTTGTCACGTGTGTTTCAGTGATCACCATCTTCAAGGGCAAGGTGGAGGAGGTGGAGCTTCCCGTTGAGAAGGTCGACATCATCATATCCGAGTGGATGGGCTACTGCCTCTTCTACGAATCCATGCTCAACACCGTAATCTTTGCCAGGGACAAGTGGCTGGTATGACATATGGAGTCTGTGTGAAAGAGTGACACAGTATTTGTTTGTGTGTCACATAATAATATGAAGGACTAAGATAAGTGGGGCAAAACAAACCAGAAATGTAATTTCAGCGAATAAAACAACAGCATCTACACGGAAGGTATTGAAGTAGAAATTTCCATCGAAGAAAATGCTTTTACAACCTTTTCAGCTGGTGAGCTTGTGTCCTTGCAAAATATTTTTTCTGTAGTTTGATATGAATCATTTCAAACGGCAGACATTTTTTAATTATAATGGTGTAACTGAAGTGAAGGTTACCAGTGGAGATCATAGATTGTACATAAAGATGGACAATACGTCTCCAATTCCAGGCTGAAAAGTATTTTATTTAATAACGAATAACCCATATCATCAAACTCAATATAATCTCACAAACCAAAGCTTTAAAATAATTGTTTACTTCACTGCTAACTGCTCAACACACATGCAATAGTATGTTGTACCACAATTTCATCAAGTCTATAAAGTAAGAAAGATTTTTATGAACTACTACCTCATATTCATATAATTGTTGGGGAAAATAATTGTTTTCATGTTGTTATAAATCCAGTCTGCGTGCAGAAGGAGCAGCTCAATAATTTAAACCTGTTCTTGTCTGAGAAATGAAATGTCACTGACGCTGTAATCAACACCTTTTTTTAATGTGTTCAGGATTAATTGCTGAGTCATTTCTTCACCTCATTTGTCAAACAGAAACCCGGTGGATTAATGTTCCCTGACCGTGCCTCACTCTACGTGGTGGCCATCGAAGACAGGCAGTACAAAGACTTTAAAATACATTGTAAGTTCAGAGTGAGAGTTTGTGTGTGTGTGAATGTTGGTGGTGGAAAATAACGAAGTGCATTTACAAAGTAAAATATGGAATAATAGATGGAACACTACATTTTGCATCTCTTACTGCTCTTTTACTGAAGACAGCCTATTGATGCAGGACTTTTACTTGTACATTTGTATTTTTCACATCATCCAGCATATTTGACACTGATCTAAATACAGTATTTTTTCCACCACAATGCTGAGCGCTCCTATTACCTGAAGTTGCAGTGTGAAATTCTTGTCCTGTACTGAGCTGAGCTGTTCATGTTCTGTCCCTTCTGTACACTGTGTAGCTCTCATGTGTCTAAAACCAGGATTATGTCTCTACATTATAATATGAGCCATCCCTGTTCAACATCATCCACATTGTAGTCACACAATTGTGGCTGCACTCACACAGCCCACAACCTCTCGAGCTCGGCAAATGACTCTGAACTTTTCCCCGGGAGCATAAAACCAGGGGCCATAATTGATATTATTATAAGTCACCAATCATCTCCATCTGTGTTTCATCGCACTCCAAACCTGCCAGGAACACTGTGGGTGATGGTTTTTCTGCCGGACACAAAGCATGGGAACAGCACCAAAGCCACTGCACAACCCAGATCACAACAGGCAAAGCGCACAATGGCCCATAGGCCTCCTACTCACTCTCCCCATGCAGCTGGGAAATTATACAACCACAGTGCACTAGATAATATCCGGGGAAAGTCATATTGCTCTATCTCACTGCATCGCCAGCCTTCCCATCATACTTCAATTTAGTCGGCCATTATTGTGTATTTCAGGAGCAGACACAAGGTCAGACTGAAGTGAGTAGAGTGCGGATATTGACCACAAACTTCTCTTTCTCCAGGCAGATGGCCAAAATTGACCTTTAGGCCGAGTAAGTGGCCCGGTGAAATACTCCAGTATCCTGAGAGCATTCTGTGGTCATTAGTTCTCCTCTGCTTTATATAAGTTGGCAGCATGCAATGCAAATACAGTATTGCAAAAAGCCCCTGGAGGTTTGTGACCTGTTCATTAGCACCAGTTCTTCTGCATGCTCAAGTAGTTCTCTCCTTTTGGGTCACAGCAAATATTTCAAGGAACCGAATGAATAATGTATGAGTTGATTTAGCCTAAGCAGAGAGGATACCCGAGGTAAGAGCGTTCAAGGAACATCATGTTTTCAGATCAATATCTGAAATGAACATCGTTCCAAAACACCGGTGGTCCGAAGTATTTTAAGAAAAGCCACAACTAGTGTTGTTTTACTTATGAAGTTTACACCTCATGTGACCCTAGAAACTGCATAAAACCACGGAAAGAAGATTTCTCATTCATTTGCAATATAAGAATAAAAGATTGAAAAAATGTTTTAAAACAATGAAAGGCTGCTGTACTTTACAGGGTGGGAGAACGTGTATGGCTTTGACATGACATGTATCCGTAACGTGGCGATGAGGGAACCGCTGGTGGACGTAGTGGACCCCAAACAGGTGGTGACCAACTCCTGCTTGGTCAAGGTCAGTGAAATATTGATCAGATTCTGACTGAGAGCTGTTTTATCACAAAGCCTGGCTACATGTCACATACAGCCCTTTAGCTAAATTTCCAATGGTAAAGTGATTCCAATGGTAATTTTTTAAAAACAAGACATAGAACACATACATTACGTTGTGCAGATCCTGGTTCAGCCTCCATCTTGGAAACACCTCATGGATTTTTTCAGTTTAGTATCAATGAAGAAAGTGCTCACATATGTATATAAATATGTTTCAGGCCTGTACCAGAGTAAACTCACCATTTAAATACAAATATAAAACTAAACCTCACTTTAACAGGCATTTCAACCTCTTACCCATACTGAGCTGAAGGAAAACTACTTTAACACTAAGTTTAGTAAACTGATGGAATTAAAGTTAGCTTGTGAACTAATATAGAGCTAGCTAGCTAACACTAAGCAAGTTAACTGAAACTAGCCTGCAACAGGTCCTGTAACACCACAGCAGAGGAGCCACGGGACCCAGTGGAAAACACAGAACACAGAACTACTATGTGAACTTCAAACCGACCAGTGGGAAATCTCTGGTTTCCTGTGGCTCCATCCATGCTGCCTTCTTCTCTTCTTCTCTCAGGTTACTGGAAGATTACAAACAAGTTGAGGTGCACACCGCCACCTACTGTACAAGAGCGTGTAACATCATGTCAAATTTCCTCAAATTCTAGCCTTGTGTCTTTTAAAAAGACGATCCTGATGTCTCCTATTCCTGCTCCTTCTGTCTCACTGTCTCAATTTTATTCTGGAAGCTTTGTATTTGTCGTTTGGGAAACTACTTTGAGATTTTATACACTTTTGGGGAAAGATTCTCACAACACGGCACGGAACAGTATTAGGGTCAGACATAAGAAAATGAGAAGAGGAATTAAGTGGAAATCTCAAGATTCATTTTGTGAATAAAGTCAAAATGCGAGGAATAACCAGACTTAATAAGAGGAAGATATTTTTTGTAATTCGTGAACGGAGCAGAAATGTCGACAATAAAGTCGAAACATCGCTATGAAGTCAACAAATACATATTTTTCCAATTAAATGGAATTTCCGTGTCACTAAAACTGATTCTGAGGAACAGTCTCATTAACTATTTACACAAGGCATTTAGAAGAGAGTAATAGAGCTAGTGTTCATAGATACATGATCTTAAGAATTTCAGTTTCACCTTCAGCATTTCAACTTAGTTCTCGCAACTATTATTAAATGGTCTGAAGTTGTTGATCATATCACAATCTTCAACGGGAGATGTGGTATTATGCTGAAGATTAAATTATTATGAACGTCATATCCACCATCTTCTGCCAGTCAGCTGTGGAGAAAACTATATGAATGATAACTAAGGAGTGATTTTATTGTGTAGTTTATAGTCTTGGTACATTAGAGCATGATTTCAGTGATAAAACACACAGATATAACTCGTTAGAGACGCTAAGTGATTGGTAACCATGTTGTGAGATGTGCCTCTGCTGGTAGAGTTCAACCTTGATGTGTGGCCCCGTCTGTCCGTCTCTGTGGATTAGACTGATCAGGTTGAGCTGTGCCATGCATGTCAATAGCCGCCTGTCTCCTCCTGCTGATTGTGCTCCTCGTCACGGTGACCTTCTTATCGCGGGCATTGATTAGACGGCTCGGACCCGTCTCACCTCTCTCCCGGAGGAATACTGCTGCGTGATCATACCTCGACTTTAGCTTCTTTTCTACCTTCGATGCTCAAACATTTGTTTTCCTTTCATTATAAAAATACAGTGAGACGGTAGAGATATTATCAGACATGAGAGTTTAATGAAAATCTCTATGAAGCTGCTGGGGATGCTGCTTGTCTTTGGAGAAAAAAACCGTACAGCAATGTTACCCCGTTGACAAGCTTTATTGTGTTTAAATGGATTACTGACTGACCTCATTAAGGTTGTGGAGTGGTACACACAGGACCTCATGTTATTAAACTGCTGCGTGAAACCTCGGTAACAATACTCAGTGAGCGTCATAGCCAGGTATGATCCTGCAGAAAAGAAACAATTTAACATTAACAACCTGCATAATAATTATCTTAAAACTGTCTTTACTTTGAAATGGTAAAGACATGCACGAACACAGTGAATATCTAGTAAATATGACAACGGAGAGAATCTGACATAAATATCGCAGTGATCTTTTTATTGCCAGCAAACATAAGGCTCATTCCTCCGCAGCAAATGTGGCACCTGGCACCGAAGCTGTTGAGCGAGCATCTATTAGTGTCGATGGTACATGAAACTAGATTATCACACCTCTGCCTACATGTTTACCCTGTGGCGTAGGTTCCAGGTGAGCCGCACTCTGCCTCTGTTACTCGGCAATCAGTTACTGTTGGCACACACGACAGCAGAGCGAGATGTGGGACCACATGTTCCTCCATGAAAGTGGCCAGGGCTAGCGGGATGATGAGATATCAGACATCCTGTTAGACTGATTGGAACCAGGGGGCATTTACAGATTTGGCTTGGTAGCACCGTTATGCATGAATTACAAAAGGAAACCAGTAACGTGAATGACTTCTCCTTATCAATGAGGTTATACTGGGACTGTCCCAGTAGGGTTGGGTGGTGACCTCTTTATATACAGTCTATGGTGGTGACACAATATCTCTTGCAGGAAGAGGGGGAACTGTACTTCCTAATGCTGTTTCTCATCTTTTTGCATTAAACATGAAATTACATCTGGGTTTATTCCATTAGCAGTAGTTCTGTGGTAGCTTCATAGAATCCCATTCTGTGGTAGCATCCCAACTACACACCCATGGCAAGAAAGCAAATAAGAATACTGTCAGAGGAAAGATTCCTTTAAAAATCATTAAGAGGTAAAACTGCAAATTAAGAAAACAACTTTATCAATTTGATGCTATGTGAAAACGACAACGGAAATGTTTCCAGGGGACGCAAAACAGTGATGAACCCGGCTTTGTGTAGTCCCATCATCACTGACGAGAAGCAGACCTTAATAACTTCACCAAGCGTTTTCTTAATTTGCAGTGCGTTGAGTGCTCTTGACCACCGTAGTTGTGTCTGTATGGTCCAGATAAATGTGAAACAAGTCCACGTCTTTACTCTTTCAGGAGGTGGACATCTACACAGTGAAGCCGGAGGACCTCTCGTTCACCTCGGCGTTCTGCCTGCAGATCCAGAGGAACGACTACATCCACGCTCTGGTCACCTACTTCAACATCGAGTTCACCAAGTGTCACAAGAAGACTGGTTTTAGTACCGGTGAGAGGCTGCACGCTGTCCCTTACATTACACCTGCAGCTCCAAAGCATTAAAGCTGCACCATATAAATTAAAAACTTTATTCACCTGCATCCATCGAGATGTATTAGTAAAACATCCACAGTGAAACAGCCCCCTCCAGTGGTCAGACTCTGTAATCTTGACTGAAGCTGCTTGTTTCTTTTGGTTCCACATAAACAAACAGTTTTAACCTCAGTTTGAGAGACAGTGTCCAATATCACATCGACATGTTTCGTGGGATATATTTCCTGTTTGTTGCAAGAACTTCATACGATTGCAAGAGAGGAATTATTTGTTTATTCATTAGTTTATTTATCAGGGGCCATTCCCAACACAACCCAGTGAGCCAGAGTTTGGTAAAAAGCTAAATTGCATCTGTCGTCCCTGGGTGGAAAAATATAAAAAGCCAAAACAGTGCAACACAACAATACAATAATTAACAACAAACAAGGGACCAAATTCAGAAACAGTGCTTATAATATAATACATATAAAGTATTAAACAAACTAGAATGATACTAGGTATAGAGTGTATACCTCGACCAAGGCTGAAAAGGAAAGTCATTAAAAACAATCCTGCATCCGGACCATGATCCAGACCTGCACCAAAACATAATGGATTCTTCTCTGACTCATACTGTTTCCTTCCACCAAGCTCCATCCTGTTTTTGTGTAATCTTGCTTAAAAACGAACAAACGAACGAATACAAAAACCAACCAACAAACACAGAAAAACTTCACCTCCTTGTCCGAGATAAATACAAACGTCTCTGTCAGTAAATGGTTCTAAAGGGCATTGATCACATGACTGATTTGTCTTTAGTGTTTTGTTTTAAAAATACTGGTTTGCATTACCGTTGACATTTAATGTTGGAAATTAAACCCCCAGGGGTCTGAAATTCAGTCCGTCAGCGTCAGGACAACTTCACCAGTCACATGTAGTATTGATACAGCTGAAGTACAACCAGGCTCAAAGCATTACGGTGGCCCAACGTACAATAAATCTGACGTTCAGCAGTTTCATCCTGGAGCTGTGCGGCTTCTACACTAATAAATAACCTGGTTATTTCTCCCAAACAGGAAATGTAAGAAGTCTGTTTGTGTTTCGACTTAATTGACTCTGTCATTTTTCTTTGTGATGATTAGAAATTCCTCTGTTTGTAGATAAAATACAGTTTTATAATGTGGAGCTTGGCGAGGGTTTAAAGACACTGATGTAGTGGTGTGGCCTGGGTCTAAAATCAGTGTGTGACTGAACTCTAGTGGTGTTGGCGTGAAGTACATCTCTAAACAAATACTGAATAATGAAATGAGCTAGGAAACAGAAGGTGAAACTGATGTTCTGCTCGTTTTGTGTGTAACCACTATTAAGGAGTTAGAGAACAGACCGGCTCCTTATCCTCTTTTAAATCGCTTCCAAAACATAATGGATTTTTCTTTCATTATCTTATATAAGTATATTCTACTTCTTTCCTTCCTTTATTTTGCTTCTTATGATTAATCATTGTTTGATATTTTGACAAACAATGTTTTAAATCGCTTTTAACAGTTGGTCCAGTAAAGGTAACAATAATAATAATATTAAGAAAAAGAAGAAGAAGAACGTTTTCTGCTCTCACTTCCCTTGTATTGATTTTTGTCTGTGTTTTTGTCAAGAAAGTTTTCTAGTGTCAGTTTTGAAAACAGCTTCTCATCTAAAACTTTCAAATACAGATCTAACGCACACGTTGCCAAAGTGTGTGATTGATTCCCCACACAGTCTTGAAAAGAGAAAGTTTCCATCAGACGCACATGGACTCAGGTCAAAGTTTAATGCTTTGTTGAATTAGCATACGAAACGCGGCTCTACCTGTTCGGTGTTCTTTATTGAGCCGTACTCACAGACGGAGAGCCAGGTCTGTGCACCGGTCAGACTTATTGGCAGCCCCTTTAATGTGTGGACCCACGAAGAGCTTGTCTGTAAAGGCAACGTTACCCATCTGCCCCAGGGCTGCCGGCAGAAATTGGATTTAAGCGTTGCTGACCTTTTGAATCTCAGCCAAGCGATCAGTGATGGTCCGGCCACTGGGAATACACTTGCATTTGTTTCAGGGCTCGAGTTTTAGATTTTACTTGTCTGTGTTTCGATCACTCACAGAAGAACGCACATAAAGTAGCACAAAAGACACAAAGTGGAATGGTAATGAAAGCAGAGCAGCTGCGCAGAGGTCAGGAATGCAGTTCCACTTTCTTTACTTCAGTGTCTATATCTCTAGAGGAGAAACCTGCTCCTCACGACGACAAGGACACGGACTCAGCTCCCTGCATCTGCTCCTCCTCTTCCTGTTTGTGTTTATGCTCTGTGTCACACAGAGAATTTAAAAGTCTGATCTCACAGACATCAGATCCTTGGAAGCAGTGAAAATTATTAACTGGGTGTAAAAATTAGGCCTCATGGATCATTTACTGTTGCCTTCCCCCTGAGACAGTTTGTTTGTGGTGGTTAATGAGTCATTTATCAATTATTTATCGTTCATTTATAAGCTAATGACAAGAGCCACGTTTGTGACATCATTAATAAGAAACTTTTTTTATAATAATCTGTCATATCAGAAGTTGTAGATTTGTGCATGATTTGTAGTCTTAACAAATAGGTTAGCACTTTTTAACCTTTTGTGTGTGTGTGTGTGTGTGTGTGTGTGTGTGTGTGTGTGTGTGTGTGTGTGTTCCAGCTCCAGATGCATCATACACTCACTGGAAGCAGACAGTGTTTTACCTGGAGGAGTATTTGACAGTGCGTAGAGGAGAGGAGATTGTTGGCAGCATCGCCATGAAGCCCAACGAGAAAAACATTGTGAGTATTGTATAAAAACATTTTCATATTCTGAAAGCAGTGTGTTGAATTCTACCACTGACCAAGCAGCAGCTAAGAAATGACTCATTTCCTGAGTTGTCGGCCCCCCCACAGGTGGTTTTCCCCTCAGTGTTGGACTGAGGTCAAACAGGAAGTAGCACCGCAGCCTCTTCCAGAACAACAACAACAGATTCTAATGTTTGACCGTGTCCTCTCCTGCCCCAGAGGGAGAGGACATCTTGGGGGGGGTTAATGTGGGTGCACCAGGTGAAAGGGACCTGGAGGACCCCACGTCAAAGTCGCCCTTCCTTCCATCTTCAAATGATTATTTTATTATCCAGATTATAAACAGAGTGAATACTGTGCATGAACATAATTAAGAGTCAAGTCGTGCAATTTAAGTGCAAACCCTCTTTTCTCTCTGACCTGCAGCGCGACTTGGACTTTACCTTCGAGCTGGATTTTAAAGGGCAGCTGTGTGAAGCGGCCATTTCTCATGACTACAAGATGCGTTAACTTTGACCGAGGGGGACGCCGGTGCCCCGTCGAGTACGACCCTTGATCACCAGGGGGAGACGGAGACACTCCCCTGACCCTAGACCAGGAAAGACCAGGCAGAGGGGCGGGCTGAGAGGGCCCCGCTGACAACATCACTATTGTCACTTTGGTGAGCGATGAACGCAGGAAGTCAGTAACGCTGACGGTAAACAGCTCTGAATGTAACACTGACAAAAAGAGGTCCGGAATATTTTTTATTCTCAATGAATGTCAAAGATTATCGATGTACGTGTGGTGTGAGATGGAGTGATGTACCTCTGTGTTCTCTTTTTTACAATTACTTGAACCTTACGGAACTGATGAATTACTGTCCTGATCACATTCTGTTACAAATAGATATTTCTACAAATTTAAGACATAGTTCTTATGTCGTACTCTGGACTGTCGGGAATGATTGTCAGAAAAAAGAATTATTTATAGTTGTGTAATTTTAGCAATGTGGGAAAAACTAGCAATCGAACACCACAGCCAAGGACAAACCTGCGTACGTGTATGTGAAAGGTAACGTGTTTGCATCGTCAGTGTTCAAGTAGCTTTCTGTGAGTGTGTAACAGGTGTGGACGCTTGCACTGTTGCACAGCTTGGACTCCAGACGTGGCCCCGTGTTGTCAGTTTGAGCTGTGATGTTGACATGCCAATAACATACCTGCCCATCCCAAATGCCTTGACCAAGTGCCCAAGTGCTTAGTTCTTTTTCCGCACTGATGCATTTATCTGTTCTCTATAGTTTCACGAGTAGACACTAGCCACGCTCCTTTACAGGAGTATTTAAGGCATGAGAAGAAAAAAAAAAGAAAGGAAGAGAGGAAGATTTTTGTCTGCATTTTGACAATCATACAGAGGTTCTCTGTTTGAATGGAGACTCTAAACCCTAGGCTCTAGCTTTCCCACGAGAATGAAGACAGAATCAAGATTCAAATGTTGAGAATAAAGTCAAACTAAATCAGAGAAACATTAAAGAAGTAACTGACAGAGCATTTCGATATCTTTGGATTTGCCCATTGCACTTTATTTCACTTAGCAGGAATACAACCATCGCCTTCAACACAGAACTTTGGGCAAATTCTCAATACTGATGTTTATGTACTTAAATCTTTAAATTTCGCTATTTTGACTTTATTCTCGAAATGCAAAACCTTCCTCTTCTTTATTATGCCTGATACTCTTCCACTTTCTTTATTGGTTTGAGATAAGAAATCACTCAAGACACAGATGGAAGCCATTCCTCCTTCAGTCTACATCTGGACATAATTGACACTAACTAGTCCAACCTGAAAGACATGAATGAATCCCTTTGTACCAGGAAGCTGTTGAGACCAGGTGTTTCTCAGCTTTTCTGCCAGTAACGAGCTCTGGTCTTCAGAGGAGCGAGTGTAATAATGATGAAAACTGGAGACACTGCTCCTGTGCCGAGTCCCACGTCCAGTTCATCTTTCCACTTCACCTATGCTCTTACTAATCACCATCGCCATGGTATCCACTGAGGGGGATTTTCTTCAATCGAGACAAAGGCAAAAGATTATGTGGTGTTTGATTTGGAATACTTTTAAAATATCACTTTAACGTTTGCCTCAAATATCAACTGTTACGATTTAAACACAATGATTTTTTAAATTTGTGTTTCTATGATATCGTCGTGTTTAACAGCCAAGAACCAGCCTCTCTCACCAAAGTGTAGTGTGAACACAACGAGGGGAAAACACAGTCTCTCATTTATAAACAAGCATGGAAGTAATAATGCTGTCAACAATCACCTGAAAGTGCAGCGACGAGCTGAGAGCTGCCGTATAATGACAAACAATACAGTGTTAACTTGTTATTGAGTTGTTTATGCTTACAACCAGTTGTACATGGCAAGTCTATTCAGAATGATTGTATAATTGAGGGAGCACCTTCTTTAACGAGACACAAACATAGATTCTCACATAATTAAATGGATCATACAGATTCTCTTAAATTGGCATGTTGATTCCACGTGTATTACCTCTACTGAATATGTTGTCTCACATGTTGTCATGTCGACTAAAATACTGAATAAACAGCAATGTTCAAACTCAAGTCACGTGTCACTGTATCAAGAATAAATGAATCGTAAACGAGGTTCTTTTACATATAATATGGACACATTTGTTTATTTTTTGTTTTGTGCTATTTACATTTTTGTATATACATTAAAGTGATGTACAAGAGACTGGCAGTAGTGGAGCACTATTAGTGAATATCAAAGAGTAAAACCCAACCCCCGGTGCAGCGGTGACTTCCCTGTAACACACTGACAACATCACCTGTTTCTGTTTGATTCAACACTGAGGCAGATTATTGGGATACAAAATAAATATTGTGTGCAGTGAAGCTTCATTTGGTCTGAGAGGGAAAACGTCTGCGTTGTTTCAACACAACTGAGAATAACTCTTTACAAATTACTGTACAATTTACAACATGAACACGTGTAAAATATAATGATATTATATATAATAGCAAAGAAAAAATACTACATTTGATCCTCTGAATTGAAACTAATAATCTGTCTTCAGTCCATTACCTCTGTTCTGTGCTGTTTGATCATTTGAAACTGAGACATATTATCCTGCAGTATCACAAACATTAATTAAATGAACTCCCCTCTGACATAATGTCAACAGAAACTGAACAACTACAGCTTCACTACAGCCGTGAAGATAATTCACACGTCTGTTTTCATGTTCTGGATGTGAACACAAAGTGACAAAGCAAAACAGCTAAAAATGTACACACAACACTGGACGAATGAATACATGAATACACACAGTAAAATGCCAAAATTCACAGATAAAGGGCATTTCATAAATATTTGAGGGTTTCAGTCAGTGACGGAATATTTATGTTGAATTTTAAAAACTGAAGAAGTGTTGAAAGTCTGTGGAAAAGATTAGTTCAATTATTTTTATATCAATGTGACCGTTTCTAACATTGATATAATAATCTTACTTTTCTGCATCTTCATGAAAAATACATTTGAAGTAATTTTTAACCTAATTACTTCAAATCATATATAGAAGAATATTGTAACAGTACAATAACATCTGACACTTGACAGTAGATATTGTGATGTTTTTGCTATGAGGCTGAGGAGCAGGTGAAAACCACTAGTGCTGACATTAGACATAACGTCTCCTCACTGACGTGTGGTGATACTGTCACAGCGTGTCTGTTAGTAAAGGGTAGTGCTGCTGTGTGTGTGTGTGTGTGTTGACTATTAACTGTTAGCAGCAGGATCTACTCTTCGCTGACGGGCTGCTGAGCAGGACAGTCTTCTCCTTCTCTCTGTCCTCTTGTTCCTTCAGAATTCTGAGAAAAACAGGGAGATACAAACTTGTGAAGCAGCTACAGCAGGAAACATAATAATACTCTGTGTCCACAATTCTTGCTTTGCTGTGAGGAGAGATGTGTGTTTTGTGGCTTCTGCTGCAGAAGGTCTGCATAAACCCTGCAGGCTTGTTTTCTCCCACAAAAAAATGGTGGTTGCAGCGCCCCCTGCTGTTTTCTGTCATGTTGTTGTGTTGTAAATATCCAGTCAAACTGTAATCCACAGTTAGTCGAGGCAGAATCAGTGACAGTAGATGACAGAGGGTTTTTAATTATGCTGATTAAATGGCACTGATCCAGTTTTCTGCAGCAAAAATGAAGCTCATTGCAAAACATTTTGAAAAGTCGTCTCTAATTGAAGAAAGACCGTCAGTGCCATGCATCACACACTGAGGTGATGACATGAACATTTGATTTTCCACATTAAAAACATTCCAGATAATTTCACTTAGGAGAGACTGCTTCCTGTTGGTCTGTACAGATCCAGGTGATAAGACCTGGTCCTTTGTGCCTCTAACACAAATTAAACATTTGGCTCCACATTAATTCCCTTATTTCAATACAGAACTTTAAAGGAAACTTGTTGCATAAAGTTTTGCACGACCACATGCTCACCTGGCTAAATGAACCATGGACTCCATCACATTGTGTCCTGAGCAGGCGCTGCACTCAAAGAAAGCCATTTGGCAGTCCTGCAGAAATGATGAGGATGATGATGATGATGATGGCTGTCATTACTACAGAAGACCTCTGTGACTGCAAATCTTAAGTTCTTTCACTATGATGAGTGGAGGCCTTTCAAAAAACTAAATCCTGTAGTAATAAAACATGATTTGTATCCGATCTCCATAGAAACTACTCAGCACAACAGAGACCAGAGGAATAAAGAACTTAAAATATGAAGAGTCAGAAAATACTCCAGAGTAGTTTCCACATAAAACTCACATAATCATAAGTTAAAGAAAGAGCATTTCTAAACACTGGTTGTGATTTGTGGAAAACAGACACGGACCTTGGCTAGTCTTTCACCCAGACCTTTCTGAACTTGTCTCTCAATCTCCTTGTCTGTTTTGTTTCCCAAAAGCATGATGGGAATGTCGTCTCCAGCCCCTTCCTATAAAGAAAAGAGGAGAGAAGGCAGACCAAAAGAAAATCCTCTTAAGAGAGTCCACTGAGGGGCCCCATCCCCCTTCTGCTCTCTGCTCCCATATGGAAAACCAGTCAGAAGTGAACAGACACTTCACTGTTAACAGATACAGCAACAGATCGATATATGATTTATAATTTCACACTATTATTATTATACTGTGAAAAACTTTCAACATAGAGCTACTGCAGCCAGTCAATAATCTGTTCTGGGATAAAACACAATCATTTTCTCTACTTGAGTTATGAAATGTTTCAAATGTTTGTCACACGTGTTCAATTTTATCAAGTTACCTTTACACTCGTCAGCCACTGTCTGACAGCAGTGAAGCTCTGCTGTGCTGTGATGTCGTACATCACAATAACGGCGTCAGCCTTGCGAAAGAACTGTTTGGTGATGCTCCGATACCTGCAGGACGAGGAAGAAGCAGGAAAAGAGGAAGTGGTGTTTGTTTTGTTGTTACATCAATAATCCCTGAAAACTCCCTCTGTCCTGCAGGAGATATATTTCTAAATTTGCTTAGTGAGATGCACTAAGTCAGTTCAAATGTAATTAAAAGTATTCAAATAATATTTAATGATAGATTATTTATTGATAGATAAACCTTCTGGCTTCATGTCACGTGCAAGTCCTCACCTCTCCTGTCCTGCTGTATCCCACATCTGCAGCGCCACCTGGCTGCTGTCCACTACTATTGTCTTTACACTGTAGTCTATACCTGTTCATACAGACAAGAAAAACAATTTGTTGTGATGAACAGCAAACATTATATAAATATCTATGCCACATGTGACTGTGGAATCACATGCAACTATAAAACATGATTTGAATGATCAAATGTGAAAAGGTTCATATTTGAATAAACTGAAAAAGTAAAAGTGGACATTATTATTTCAGAAAAGTTCAGAAAGCTTCTAAAACACAAACACTTCAGCTTCCACATAATGTTTGAATGAAGCGATCACTAAAGGGTAAATCTTTTACGTTTTTTGAACTTTAAATTTAACATTTGCAGACTGAAAACTGCTAAAAACAAATCAATCAAACTGCAGTGAGAGCTGCAGGACCAAAACTCGATGCATCACTTTGTCCTTGAGAGAAACTCAACTCTTTTTATCAGCTTCTAGAACGGATGAAATGTATTTGAAGTTAAGTAGTTAAATACTGTATACACAATATATTCATTTAAACTAAAATATTCTTTTATCCATCTTATTTATTCAGTGTTAATGTATTAAAGTGCTTTGTAAGCAAACACACAGTCTGAGGTTGACCACAGGGACCACAGGGTGTTCTCATGCCTTTACTAACATGAACTAACAGATGATGTACTTTTTCTGTTTGCACTGTGAAATACGTACCCACAGTGGCAGAGGTGCCAGAGTGGAAGCAGTTGTCACAAAATCGCTGAAGGAGGGAGGTCTTTCCTACACTCGAGTTCCCCACCAGAACGATCTTGAAGAGGCGGTCAGGAGGCGAGGGGCCACCTTCCTCCTGAGAAAAAGAGAGGCATGATGGGAACAGATAGTTTGAAGGAGGCTACAGGAACTTCCTTACACTTCTTACAACAGAGTAACAACTAACTTTCACTGAGAAATTGAACACATCCTTACATTTACACTGGTCTCCTTGCCAACAGGCTGACCCCTTGGAGAAGTGGGAGTTTTTCTGCCCTCCATATTTCCCTGCCGCTGCTGCAGGGCAGAAGACGCACACGGATAAATATCGCTCATGACCAAGTCAATATTCTCCTCGTTGTCGAAGGCCTCCTCTAGATCACTACACTCCTGAAGAGGATTTTGAGCTTGACAGTCATTCTGGAGCAGGTGTGGGAGGTGGTCCTCTTCAATGGAGATGATCCTCTGGAGGTGACCTCTCGTCTCCGCTGGGCAGAGCGGCTGATGTGGCCGATTGGTACGATTCTGCCTCACAGAGCTGGACGTCAGCTCCTCCTCATCTTCACTGCTGATACAAAGTTAAAGTTAAGAAACAAAGCAGATCTAACAAGTCAAGTGTTGATGTTCCATTTTAAACAGTCTGAGTGAAATTCAATTATTCATATATCCCTCAATGTTTTACCTTTTGAAGACGTTTCTGTCAGTTTGTTTGACAGTACCGATTAGCGGCCTCTGCTTCAAACCTGGTGAAGAATTATGATTCTTTGGATTCTGCAGAAATAAAACATGAAGTTTCGAATGATGCAGTGGAACGAGATTTCGGGTTCAGTCTACTCATGTGCAATCACATTTTTAAAAGAGGGCAAGAAGAAAAGAAAATACAAAAAGAGGATAGAGAATAAATTATGTTACAATAACCAACACATACCTGATAGCAAATGTCCCTTTCATCTCGTAAATGTTTGTTCATTTCCCTGGATTCGATGAAGAGAGAACCGTAAGTCTTTTTGTACCACTGAACAATTTTTAGTGTTGTGTAACTGACCTGTCACAATTTGAATACCTAGCCTTGTTAGATATGATGTTTGCTGTTGAATAATTCACAAGCTATAATGACTACGATACATAAGGCTCTGCACCAACATCTTTACGCAGCTAATCGTGACATGTCAGTGGAAAAGTCGGCTGAAGAACGAGCTGTTCACAGGCTGGAAATATTAGAAATAGTTTTTAGGCAGAACATTTATGAGAAGGAGCTGAAAATGCTCGACAAGGCTTCTCTCTTATAAACTGTAAACTTAGTAACTGACCAGTTCTAATAAGTTCTAATAATATATAACATTTTATCTGACCCATACTATAAATAATCTCTATATTTTGTCACAAAAGCAAATAGACAGATCCAGAATAATATTACTCAAATTAAGAAAAATTATTTTTACCAACCACTTTTAAAATGATGGGGTGAGCTTTAAATAATTCACAGAATAAAAGCTATTAAAGTAAAATAAAGCTGTTATTGTCTCTGGAGTCTGCACGGCTGCAGAGCTCCTCTGTGTTTCCTCTCATACCTCAGCAGGTCCAGTTGTTTGAGGAGACTCGCTCGCTCTCTCTGCAGTCCCTCAGTCAGTCTGTAAATTTCCCTGTGTGGAACAACAAAGCATCTTTTATCGCTCTGTGACTGAGCTGTGGTTACACTGAATTAAGAATAAAGAAACTATAGTCAAAAACATGACCTGCACCAAAGAAGTAAAACATGACAGATCTCAAAAATCTGTTAATATGAGACTTATACACAACTCATCTACTTTCTTCAAGATCACAGCATTGGAAGGAATGACATTTATAAACTTGAAAGGAATCATAAGAATGACCTAAGCAAAAATAATTTGGGGGCTACTAAAAGGAAACTCTGTTACCATTATTTCTACGTCCGTCATGTTCCCTGAAGTTTTGCAACGCGATGACAAAAGAAACATCCAAATATGTAAAAGTCAGTCAATACTATTATTAGGAGCCACACAAAGTTTAAAGTTCAGTTTAAACATGACAGTTGTGTTTTCCCTCTAAATATGTTCCCAGCAAAAACTTGAGATTGTATCATAACCAGTAAATGTAAGATAAATGATTGAGATGCAGAAAAATCTGAGGAGAACTAAAGAAACTTGAGTTGTTAAGATTAGCTACAGGATAGCTCACATCTCCTTCTCCTCATGAAGCCGTGTGGACTGCTCCTGCAGGAAACCCAGCTGCTCCTGGGCCATGCTCAGCTCCTGGCTGGTGTGATCCAGCTCCCGTGCTAACTCGTCATTTGTCTGCTTCAGCTTCACGTTCTCCACTTTGGTCACGTGTTGTTCGCTGTGAAGGTCCTTGCACTGACGCTCCAGCTGGAGTCAGATCCACGGTCAAGAAAAAGGAACAAGAAAAGTGAGGAGATCTCAAATAAGACTTCTAAATACTTCTAGATAAACAGAGACCAAAATGAAACATCCTGGGTGTGAACAATGATGATTTGTCACATATTATACGGTGTATTTAAAGTCCCTGTGTGTGGAAAGATAAAAGTGTTACTCTGACTTCTGCAAATGCATGACTTGTAAATGAACAGTGGCTCTTCAACCTTTAGTCATAGGATGAACAAGCAAAAGCAACATGATGTGATGATACAATCAATTCAACAAACTGCTGTTGTAACATGAATGATACCTCCACTGCTCCCCACAAACAGGAAACTTGGTTAACAGCTAAGGTGACATGTTATTCAGTGATGCTAAGGATAAGTCCTCGTTGGTTTGAGCAGAATTAATCTCAGTTCACTAACAAGCCTGGAGAGCCTGTAAGTCTGTGAATGAAGGTGTGAGCCAGAGGCTATTAACTCAATGCTGGATTTGTACAAATGACATATAACCGAGTGTTAAATGTGAAAAGCTGCTAGACGTCTTTCACAATAAATGGACGGTCATATTAAGTTAACATACATATTGAATTAGCAAGCCTTCACTTCTGAAAGTAAGTTGGCTGCTGCAGTAAATACCACGTCATTATGACGATCACACCAACATGTGACATTTTCACAGCATTGTGTTCTATGTTGTCTCGTGTGTTCAGCTGCTCCGACAGTTCAACTTCCTCATGTGAAACCTGAAGTAAAGTCTTTCTCATTGTCTGTGAAGACTGCAGTGCACTCTGGGGAAAATCAATTTTTGATGGATCTCACTCACCCCTCTCTGTTTCTGGAAGAGATGCTCCAACTCTTTTTCTTTACCGGACAGCTGCAGCTCCAGGTCTTGACTCAGAGACAGAAACCGCTCGTAGTCCTTCAGACCAGAGATAAGAGAGGGAGGTAAGACACAAATTAAGTAAAAGGGTAAGAAGGAAGGAGATCTACAGTATTTGACAGAGTTAACAACAGAGAGACATAGTTGTTTGACATTACTGATCGGTGTGTACCTGCAGCACGATCCTGTCTTTTTCATTTTTGATTTGCTGCTCCATTTCTTCATACAGGTGTCTTATCTCATCGTCATGTGTTGCTGCTTTTCTGTGTGGATGAAATGTAAACTAACTGCCAGTGGAAAGCCTAAACAACAGCAGCCCCCATTCAAGAGCAAAACATTAAAGCTGCTTCTTTAAATAATATGCATGAGGAGCCAATTGACACTTAAGAACCACAGAAAAATCCACCCATAGTGGATAAAGCTCTAAAACATCACATCTACATTACATTTCATTTAGCTAACACTTTTATCCAAAGCGACTTACAATAAGTACATTCAACCATGAGGCTACAAACCCAGATAATCAAATACACAACGCCCTGGTCTGACCTTTGGAGAGCGCTCTCCATCTCCCTCTTCTCCTGGTTGGCCTCTTTGATCTGGGATGTCACTCTGGCCAAGAAGTCCTCAAAATTGGATAAAAGATGTGGTTCATCCCGACGCAGCTGAGCCCACAAAGCACGCACCTCAGCCGGACTGCACAGGATAGAGGGAAGGAGCAAATGTAATGAAGAGCAACATGTTGATTTCTCAAAATGACATTTGAAGTCTTTGCCACATGATTTCACGAGGAACTCATTATCCATTTAGAATTAAAATAGAAATAAAACTGTTAGGACGTGGGTGGAAATTCGAGCAGAGCAACAATCAACAAACATAGCTGCAGCAAAGCTAACTATTTATTGTGGGACATTATGTTTTTTGCCTTGAGAAATCTATTCATTATTATTACAGCAAAAAAACTTGTGTGTTCCAGGATCAAAGACTGTGTATGGTATAAAGATGGACGACGCATCTCAACCCCGAATCGAGAGTCGGCCTCACATGTCAACATGATGTTTCTGTCTCCTCTATTCACAGCATCAAATAACTGAATAAAACCAAACATATTAGAAACTAAAATGACAGGAACCATGATTGAGAAAAATTTACTTGACTTGTACTTTTTTGTTTGTTCCATGTCCCATCCACTAACATGGAGCAGTCAGGATTTATGACTTATAGTGCAGCTGGCCACTAGGGGGTGATCGAGAAACTAAGGTTCACTTTTCGGGAGCATTGGGGAACAAGCTACACTCTGCAAGTACTTTTGCTTTTAATACTTTAAGTATAATTAAAAGCAAGTACTGTTACTCAAGTAGAAAAGTTAATGTGGTACTTTTACATTGTACTTGTTTGTTTATGTATTTGTACCTTTACTTAAGTAAAATATTTGAGGACTTCCTCTACCATCAGTCGTATTGTCCATCTTCAGCCGATGAACTCACACCACAGCAAAAGCAAAAAACTAAACAATGATTCAAGTTGTGAAATCAGCTTTAAAATTTAAAAATGAGTTGCTGGACAAAAACTCTGCAATGCCAGAAACGAAATAATGATGTCATCATGTTTACACATTAAACAATGAGTCGTGGCTGTGAACTACGATTAGTTAAGGAAAGTCAAACAGACAAATTCCTGAAGCCTGGTCACAGTCACTGTGAGTTAATGCTGCACAAAGTGATCTGATCTAAGATGTCATCTCAAGCTCAGACCAGGTAGGCGGAAGCCAATAGGATGTTTAAATCTGGCATCCACCTCCACTGCTGTTTACCTTTATTGAGTTGTTTGTTAAAGGTGAGTCATGTGTTTCATAAGATCCTGTCAGTGCATATCTCTCACTGCCTAAACAGACGTCAACTGCTGAGGGCTTTTTAATGTATGAAATACCGATACAGAGATTTCGATTAGGTTTTTGAGAGATCTTTTCTGGAGGTGATGCTCCTTCAGATTTAAAATTAACTCACAGTTTCAAATGGTGTGAAAAGATTGTGGAGATCTAAGCATTTGGCTCACAGAGGCAGCACAGGAGCTTTGTTTGAGAGTGGAAAACTTTCAACTCTTGTAAAGTTTGCACAGCTGATTACCGTCACAGGCTGAGTCGCCTAAAATATAGTGTGGGCTCAAAGGAAATGTTGACAAAGTGTGCAAAGATATGACACACACACACACACACACAGTACTCACTCTTCAAAAACACTGTTGGCTCCGAGGCTCTCCATTAGCATGCAGAAGTGTTTCTCCTCTTCATCCTCGTCTCCTCTCGTCAGGTTCTCCTCCCACTGCGTCTGGTACAGGACCTCTGGTGAACTCTTCCCGGGGTTATGGTCCCCCATGTCTTCCTCCACAGAAACCCTCCGGCCAAATAAAAACCCACCTATAAAAGAAAAGAAAAAGAAGAAAAGCCCAGGTGTACATTTAAAACATCAGACTAGCCTCACAGTTGACCCCAGAGGCATTGTTACGAGAAGAAACAGACCATAAACGTACTAAAGCCTGAGGAGAACTCGTCCAGGGAAAGGTATCCGTTGCCGTCGGAATCGAGGGTATCGAACACGTTCTCCAGCTCCTCTGCGCTGAGCGGGAGCTCGCCGTTCAGCCTCTGTTCAGCGAGACACAAAACACAGCTGCGGTTGGCAATGACAGAGCCTCAAGAACATTAACTGTACTGTAGCTATAACAACTGCTACTTGACTCTCGAGAGGACAGTCATTTGTGCGACGGTGATCATGTGGTGTGGTGACAGTCTCCTATAGTTTCAAGCCTTCAGTCTAAATGACAGTCAATTAGCTCCAATAACACAGGATGTGAGATATATTCCAACCCCCTAAAATGCTGGGTGTAACATAAATCCAATCTGTTGTAAATTAAATCTTTACTATGCAATTCACATTCACCCATTCTATCACACGTGTCTCAGCTTCAGAACACTGCTGTTTGCATTTTAACCAACACCAACACCAAGTAGGGCCTGTATCTCCGCAATAACTCCTTTCATTGGCTGCCAGTAAGATTTAGGATTGTTTTAGATTATTTTAATACATTTTAAATATAATATTAATTATTATTATTTTGTAAGTTTTTCATCTTTCTTATTTTAGTTTTTTCTTGTTTTGCTGTGTCAATTTATTCGTATGTGTTTTGTTAAAAGAACTTTATAGCCTTGATAGGATACGTGCAATAGAAATACAGTTTTATTATCGTTATTATTTTTATTATTATTATCCACTGGAGGAGGCAGAGATCGAACCACCAACCCCTCTGATTAAAGGTGGACATGCTAACCTCCGGGACTACTAAGTATGTATACTAGTCTATCTATAAAGACATACAAGATTTAGTAATGCTAATTATTAATGCAATGAACAATGCAATTTTAAACATGGACCGGCAGCTAGGTTACACAAAAACTTTCCAACGTCCAATAAATAACCCAGAAAAAATTCACAAATGTGAAATACGCTTTTTCAAATTCTTAATACATGTTGCACAAACATTCTCTTCAGCATTCAGTCAGTTCCAGGTATTAACACCTGAGAACTTCCCAGTGTACATAGTCTTCAGTTCCACAGGAATTTGGAAGTTGGCCAAACAAAGGATTTGAAGCGAATGGATAAAGATAACACTGGAGACAGGCGTGACAGCTGTTTCTTAAGTAAGCAGCTAAACCAATGTGTGACCCTACCAAGAGACAACTGCCGGACGATAAGAAAAACCAACAATGCCACACCTTTGTAACCAGCCCGGTTTTTACGCTGTGTTTGCACTGCTGCGAATGTTGACCGATGCCTCACGTACAATCCAGGGGAAGAATAGCATCAGTGTAAGACCTTCGGCTGTTCTTGTAAAAATGTGTTATCGGGGCAGAACATATCCCTCATGTCAGCAAACAGCAGAGTTGTAAAACGTCTCTGTTGGTGGTCACGGTGTGAAACGTTCTTTACCCTGTGAAACTCACACGTAAATATTGTCACTGTAAAATACTTCAAGTGTGAAAAGTGTGAGAAGAGTAAGCAGTCCCTAGCTCATCTACAAACTTTGGCCAATGTGTGGAAAGTGTAAAATAAATAACTAGCAGCATCAAGTGCCTGTCTGGTTTGGGACTGATTCTGAAGAGGAGGAGAGATGATTGGACAAGGTGAAGCGTAAAATCACAGAAGGTGGTGAATGAGGCCTGACTACAAAAAGATAGGCCAGATGATTTTAAAGGACGCCTCCAGCTCAGCTAACTACCTTTTTAATTTGAGTCCTATCACAAGAACCAGACTCCAGAATAAAACTCCTCTCAAAGCTGTCCACCTCCTGAATCCTCCAGATCCAGTGCTGCAGGTCACACACAGATCTTGATGTAAAAAAAAATAAATAAAAAAAGTAGTACCCCAACCCTATCCCTACAAATTCCAATCACTGTTGTTAATGTGTCGATCAAGTACTAAATCTTTTAAATACAGTGTATACTCTTCAGTACAAATGGCCGAACGGACCGCTGTACTGCTCCACATCTAATTTCCAAATCCATTATCACCAGATCAAAGCCTCTCCTCTATGTATTTACGCTCCTCGCAGCGAGAGCCCACAAGTGCTTCATCAAAGGATTATCCACGTCAGGGATGAATATCAGGAACACAAGTGAATCTGCACAATAATGTGAGCGGAGGAGAGGCATGACAACGCTTACGCATGGCTCCCTGTGTCTCAGTGTCTTTTATGCTGCTTTGAATAAAGGTACAACTGCCCTATTCATTCCTTGTTCAGAATCATTAATGAGTTTTAATGACCCTTCAGGACAAATACATATAACATATCTGAATATTAGAATATGTGGATTTAACCCTCTGCAAAAAATCTACAGATATTTTATTAACTAGAGAAGTGCACATAAATTCAGTCAAGCTGCATCAAATTTCACAAACTCAAATGTCAGTTCCCTTGATCAATCCATGAATTATTCCCAACCAACCAAAAAAAACATTACCTGACATAGGAAATACAGTGTCTCCAAAAGTTATTAAAGTTATTCGGGTATCTTTTTGTGTGTTTTTATTACATAGTGTATATGTAATTTATGAAAACATAAAAACTAAAAGTCTGTTTTAATCACTTATATACAACAAGGACCAGTTCTCAAACTATTTCTAATACGACTTCTTTTATCATTGAGTCAGCGACCTCACCTGCATGTCACGCCGGGTGATGAAGCCCTTATTCTCGATGTCACACATCTGGAAAAACTCATGGGTCTTCTCCACAAAGGTGTTTTGTCCCATGTCCCCACTCTCCCCGTTGCCTCCGTGTCTTTGCTTGCTTGCAGTCCTGGCTGCAGTGGTGGTCTCGGTGCTGGTGATGGCACAGGGAACAGTAAAAGCCGCCATAGTGCTCACGTTGATCCAAAAGCGTTTGTGGTGTCACTTCACATGAGCCTGGTGCAGACAGGGGTGCAGGGAAGATAAAAAAAAAGAAAAAAAAAAAGAGAGATCCCGGAGAAGTGGAGCTTCAGGCTGCTGTACATCAGAGGCTTTCAACAATGTCACAGATCATCATCTCTTAGCAACCACCTCTTTAATTAGTCGATGAAACCTAGGAGATAGACAGAAGCAGAGTCTTCAGTTTAAATAAGTGCAGCCCCTCCATTCAATGTATTCTTTATAGAAATATAATCTTTACTACTATAGCTCAATGTCAAGGTTTACATTTACTGCCTGCTTATTAGAACTGCACATGGACATGGAGCAGAAACACAATTTTATTCTGCCGAGCTCTCTGCTGTGGATGACTATTAAAGGTACAGTGCGTAGAATTTAGTGACGCAGCTGAAGACCCCTCACCTCACCTCCCCTTCCAAAAATGATAGAGAACCTGTGGTAGACTTCAGTGTCTCAAAAACTCAAAGAGTTTAGTTTGTCCAGCCTGGACTACTGTAAAAACACAGTGGTCTCCATAGAGAGGACCCGCTCCTGATGTAAATATAAAGTATTCACATGTAAAGGCCCATTCTAGTGAAAACTACAATTCTTACAATTTAGATGAAACAAACCAGTGAAAATATCACTAGGATTATTTTGTCAATAGATCCCTTTCACCTAAATCCTACACACTGAAACTTTAAGTTCACTTTTACTTGGAAATGAATGTAGTGCATCAAAAACATGATATGGTAAAAGTTCAAAAAGGATCCATAGAAAAAAAATGTATATATAAAGCACCAGGAAAATAAGAATTAAAAAGCACATAGAACTTAACAGAAAATAAGAAAATGTGATAATGAACTTTCAAAAGTAACATGTTAAATATTGATATAAATATATAAATATTAAACATGGTCTTCTTTCTGCTGTGCACGTAAAACACCCACTGTTCTTCTCCTTCACTACACGTTACAGCCCCTTGGTGAGACTAATGTCATCTGACAAGTAAAAAGTTACCTTAATTTGGAAAGAAAGTTGTGGTATGACGAGGGTCCTGTCTGCTCGGAAATATTGACTGATGTCACTCACTCGGTGGGTTTCATGGGGGCTACAGTGGTTTTGTGCACTGGTTTGGAAGACTTGCCTTCCAGAAGCTGCTGTGCACCCAGTCGGCTCAGTCGATTCATGAAGAGCATCTGTCAGTGTTCGTGTTTAACCACGCAAATGTAGATATGTGGGACAGGACGAGGGATAAAGTGACAATCGCAGGTAAAAAGACAGAGACATGATACACACAGACACAGACTAACCCATCCTAAAGTTGAATCTATAGTTTTTTCTTGCTTAATTCTATTCTACTTCTCCCATTCTACAAAGCTCTATTGGTCTTCAATCATAAGATCCACAATATGAATTCCTGTGTTTCTTTCTGCTTATATTTACACATGAAACTCTTTTATTTCATTGCTGCTCAGGGATAGTGTATTTCAGTGGGACTTTACTGACTGAATAAAGGTTGGTTGAATATTTCTATTTAAGAATTTGGATGTCAGCATCACATATTTCCTTGAACAAAGTCATGCGACCTTTACATGATATTGACTATTTATGAATATGTCATGCTTGGACGTTTGAGCTTGAACATTGTGCAACATCAAACCTCACGAGGAAAAGTCTGCAACCCACAGAGAGCAACGGACAAAAGAGGAGGAAATAAAAAGAAGGAACTTATTATTATATGTTTTTGTCCTCACACACACTCAAGTCATAATATTGTCTTGTCTTTCTCGTCTTGTCTCGTTTCCAGAAGCCACAGAAAGGTTTGTGGCTCTTAGTTAAAACTTGGTGTGGAGACAGCTGGTCAGTGACTTCACCCGCGTGCAATAGTACACAATGTCAGATGTGGTGACACACACGAGCTTTAGAGCGTTCGCTCTTGCCTAAGTAACTTTAAGAAAGGAGCAGCTGCAACAATTTCAACTTTTTATAGAAATTACGTGCATTAAATTAAAAATCTGTATGAAAGCCTGATATTACACAAACATGTGACACAAAGCTAACAGAGTCAAGCTGTCAAATAAAAATCTGCCCCATTTCCTGCAGAGTGCTCACGGCCATGTTTCCACATCTGACAACCACCCTCAGTGATCTGCAGTTACAGGAGAGAACACCAAGTTACACCTGATACCTTACACCAGACATGTAGATGCACAATGCAACATGTAAACAACACGTCAGGGGGGAAGTTTGAAGTCAACAATGCTCAGATAAGACTCCAGTTTCCCAAAGCACGTGTAACAAGGCACAAACGTTTACTTCCTTGACAATAGACGCACTTTCTTTCACTGTGAAACTTCCTGTGACAGATACATTCTTCACGTTGGCAAGAAGTGACTTCCGTAAAACTCACATCGGGCTGCAACAACAACAACAACAACAACAGTAACACACAGTAACACACAGTTCACACAGAGAGGTGGAGGAAGCTGAAAGGCTGGTGGCAGCAGGTGGAGAGTAAAGTTAAAAGTTAGAAACGTACCGCGGAGAGAACAGAGACGAGGAGTCTGGAGGATTCTTCTACTTGTTCTCCTTGTTCTTCTTCTTGTTGTTCTTTTTGCTCTTCTTCTTCTTCTTCTTCTTCTTCTTCTTGTTCTTCTTCTTCTGCTTCTTCTTCTTCTTTTTCATGTGAACTTTTACATGTGTGAAGAGTCAGTGCAGGAGGGCGGGGCTTCCAGCGTGTCATCGTCCGTAACCACAGCAACAGCAACACGGAAGTGTCCCAAGCCAGGGTTCTTTTATTTAACATTCATTTTCTTTTCTTCTGTCTTCCTTCCTTTCATTCATTCTTTCATTCTCTCTGTCTTTCTGGTTTTATTTCCTTCTTTCTTTCATTCTTTTTCTCTTTCTTTCTTTCTTTCTCATTTCATTGTCTGGAAAGGAAATGTGACACCAAAAAATACATTTTACAAGATCAAACATCACAACAAATTATTATTATTATTATAATTATCATTATTACAACGCAAAATAAGGAGTTACATGGCAACATTCTGTCTCATCTGTTTTATGAAGTGTTGACATTAAGTTGTAGTTCTAATTATCCTCAGACGAGGGCAGCATAGCTCCTCCTAGGCATTCATTGAAATGGGATGAATAACCTTTCAGCACAAGTTGTTCCATCATAAAACAGTAAACTTATATTTAATCAGCTGCTTTTATAGAAGACATTGTTATACCTCTTGACCTCTCAGCGCACTGTGGCAGATTTGACTCTCTCCATCTGGACACATACAGTCTAATAAACGGCACAGGCGAGCGTGGACTCTGTTTTACAACAAGTGGGTGGGATCTACGGGGGAAACAGTCTCATACTGTTCCATGAAAATGTGTCTGCTCCACCGTGCAGCAGTTCAGCAGGTGTGAAAACACTCTCCCAGGCCCCACCACTGTCATACCTCCCCAATGCACGGACTGAAACTACATATATGTTCCACATGTGTGGTGGAGATGATGAGGACCCCTGAGCTTTAACTGTCTCCTCTTCAGGTTGTTTGTGAACAGATGCAGGCAAGTCGACGCTCCAGCTGAGATTACAGAGCCAGATGGAGGACGATAAGTAATCATCATATGAATAGTGCTTGTTTTATGCACAAGTGGAATTGGACAACAGTAAGAAATCCAGATTATCTTTTGTTTGGTTTTAAATTCTGCAGAAATACAGATTAAAAATGGAATCATCAGCTTTTGAGAGCTATATCAAGATCTTTATCCTCAGGTTATCTTAAGAGAGCTGCTCGGGGAGACCGAAAACTGCAGCCAACCTCTGAAGATGAGCAAAGATTCACTTCTAAAGAACCTCTGGGAGCCATTTCCACCCGAGGAGAGACGAACCAGAGCAGACTGGCAGGAAAGAGAGGAGAGGATATGCAGCCAGGGTCACCACACCGCTCTGGTTTAAGACCTCGGAAGGACTGACATCACACTTGAAGATCCTCGTTCCACTCGGGGAGTCATCTGTGCCGCTGCGTTAGTGGTCGTCCAATGCCTCAGGGATCACGATATGTGTTCAGGGATGAGCCAGCAGCTGCTGATGCATGTGGACAGTTCTTCCATTCAGAGCCACGGTTTTCACTTTATCATTGTGAATCTTTGTGGCTACTCCGTCCAGTTTCCCCATCTATAGACGCGCTCCTTTGTTCTTCCAGTCCCGTAACGATTAAGGGGTTTCGTGCTGAGGAAAACCGAAGAACTCGTTCACATGCAGCATTTGTACTGCAGCAGAAAGTGTGTTTAACTTTATGTGAAGTTATTTAACTTTTGTCAGAGCATCTCTTCAGTCTGGGTAAACAATCAAAAACTCATATGTAGGACTGCCCTACTTTTATCACCTTCAAGGCCTCCAAATTTAGAGCATTTCTGACACCTATGATACAGTGTGAATGCTCTTACTTCACATCCAGGTCCCACATTTATTTCAGTGCCTCTCTGCTCAAGATTTAGTGGCTACTGATATGTTGCTAACTTTGACCTAGTTGTTTTCAAATTCAGTATAAAAAAAAACACTTTGCATATTTGTACAAAAAGCAATTTAAATATTATTTCAACAACTCAAAGCTAATGGATTGTGCTTTTGTGTAATTTATAACTGGGTTTTATCATCTCACTTTCAACTGTCTTGAATAAGTGCCTCCCCTGGGGCTTTACTTTCTCGCTCCAGCCACTAGGTGGCACTCTAAAGTGGGGTAATGTGTCCATATAATTCAGTTCGGCATGTGTGGGCTCATTTTTGCAGCCAATACACTCACACTAATGAGGCGTGGACAGGAGATAGAGTGAGTCCCGATTAATTTATTGCTGCTGAGTAGAAGAAATTATTTTATGAGTGGATAATCCAAGTAATAGAGAGAAGGATGAGACTCCAGTGTGGAACTCATGCATAGCATCTTGTGTGAAAAGCGATGTTCTACCTGCAGTGAATTGGGCGAGAGAGCAAATATGAAGTGGAGATGTTGATCTGTTTGGTGCTGTCGGAGAGACAGTACGTATTTCTGTCACAAACAGCTCCATCCTTCATGGCCCCCCTGTGTTTTCTGCCATGACACCGGTGAAAGATTGGACCATTTTTCCAAGGATGTGGTGATGATGTGCCGTGAACTCATGTGGCACCCTAGCCTCTCACTGTTGCCAGGTTGGAAGCAGGTTAGTGCATTCAGCTGCCATTGCTTCTTATCACACAAAGTCTTATTGTGCAAGACAAGCTATTACACGCTCCATTTACAAGGTGGCTGCTGATATACTGAGGGCCCGACTTAGCCTGATGTGTGACATAATGAAAAGCTTCCAGTGCTGCCATAGTTGAGTCACCAATTTGTCCTCTGTGGGTTCCATTATGATGAACGTATTAACTTTAATTGATCAGTGAAACTCTTGATGTCCACTGCTGAAAATCTGCAGTCGACCGTATTGTAGATTTGCATGAGGGATCTCATTCCCTCACATAGCCAGATTTATGCCATTAGACAGGATTGCATGTAAGTACCACTTGCTGGAGGCCTCTCCCCCGAGGGAATGTGGAAACATGTGTTTCCAGTTGTTTCATGTGTTTCTTCACATGTTCACACTGACCACACTGACTTTTCCATTATCTCACTGCACGCCATCTTAGCAGTTTGCCCTCGGATTAAATCACCTGAAGGAGCTGCACTGGTAAAGCAAATCAGTAAAACGTGACCTTGTAGCTGGAGTGTAACAGCAGAACACTCTGGCACATGCCTTGTTTTATTTTTCGAAAGGTAAATATGACAAATATCACAGTATGTGCATCGCATGAAGAGTGGAAGCAAAAACGTGTATTAAATATAAAGATGAACAACACGTCTCCACTTTCCCTCGTTGTGCAAAAAAACAAAGCCGATATCTCCTGGACATGGATGCAGCCATCTTGCTAATCAATCATGACCCAGTCTCATGATGTTCAAAACCAAACTTATCAGACACAGAAAACATGAGCAAACATCACTGCCATAAAAACTACCTGAAATGCCAGATACATTTTTTTAAGGACTGCAGATTAATGGAGTTGTTATGTTGTTTGTAACTAAAGCTGGTTTCCAAACTTAAATTGAATGCTTTGCTGGATAAAGTGAAAAGCTCAGGACTGCCAAGCTTAAAAAACGAGGCAGCTTTTCTTCACTCCACTTGCACCTGACATACTCCGACCTTCTGTCTTATATTTGTTCATTTATTACATTAGATTCTGTCTTTGACTGGTTTGGACCCCAGCGCAGCCGGCAGAGTGACTCAAGATGTTTGCGGTGGTGCCTCAGAGTAGAAACAAGGATGGGACGCTATAGATTTTTCTTCTTCTTTTTCTTTCCTTCACAGTTTCTCTTGAGATCAGCGCTGATGTGTTCGGTAGTAGAAGCCGCTCATGTTTCCAATGAAAACCTGGTGCACCACAGGGAGGCTGGTCGGGCTTTTACCATGAAAAGTGATCAAACGGCCGAGCTTGACTGCACCATTACAGATCCAGCAGGTGTTGGTGGAGCGTGACGTCCTCTGACTTTGATGCTAAATCTGGCTAAATGCAGCAATCACAAAATATCTCATACAGTCTCCTCACAAATGATATGAAGCCTGAAAGATGATTTCGCTCATTACATCATAGTGGGGGTGGTGTTTAAAGCAATCAAAGGTGCTGTCGGGTTTTAAAGCTCCTCACGTGAATGTGAGGAGCAACGATCACTTATTTCTCTTCCATCGGAGGCATTGTGATGCAGAATCCTCTGTACAGAAGTTGACCTTAACATCCCACACATAGAAGACCCAACATTCTCCTTAAATTAGGCCACATTATGTTTCTCAGCTGCACATTGGCGGTAGTTACATTCGTACATTCCTATTTGTTTCCATACAGCGGCTGCAAAAAGCCCACACTGCTATGAAGCCACATTTAGATCCATTAGATCCAGATTTTTATTTGGATTCACAACAAATTTCAAACAGTCAAGATACTAACACCCTAAATATGTGTGATTTTTTTTTTTTAGCATAATTCAGTGAAAATATTGAAAAATGCATTTTAAAAGAAAGTCATGGATCAACACAAAAATGAAATGTTTTTTACAGTAATCTGCCAACAAACAAAAAGAGGCAGATGAAAACACAACCTCCATGGAAGAGGTAATGATGGCCTCTACAATGGCAAAATTAAACCTACGCCCATCTGCAGTCACTTAATTTCTAACATGCCATTTTCTCTCAGCTTTCATCCATTGCTCACTTGTGTATGAAAAGAGGTTTCTTTTTGATAAATAGAAATCTGACAAGTCCCCCTGTGGTGGTCCATTAACTCTGTTAACTGACAGAATAAAACAGCCAGTAGGTGGATGGATGAAATGAAACACGCTCTGGCAGAAGTGTCTGCTAATGCATCACATTTTATGACTTAATCTGAATGTAATGTACTCATAAAGCAATCAAACACCTTTTTACACGCATAGCAGTGACACCTGAAGTTCTGCAAAACTGATAGTAATGCTGAATTGTTTCTGAATTTTAACATCCACTGACTCCACTTAAGTTCAACCTTTGACCTCTCAGACCAGCAGGCCTCCCCAGTCTCTTCACTTTCCAAACTAGTC